ATATAGAGAGAGAGAGAGAGAGAGAGAGAGAGAGAATGATTTAAAAAAAAAAAGAAGTGGCTGTTTTCAGTCACTAGTTATGTTACTTCCAGATGTCATAGCTGTGGGTCTAAGGGACATAGTGGACATTGAGGGAAGTGCATTCACTTCCTGACCACCCCATTTGTCTCTACCTTTTGACTATTCCTGGCATCTGTGAGCCAGTGGGCAGAGGAGGAGAGAGAACAGCAGTGCTGATCCAACAGTGATGCGAAGTTGAAAATGGCACAGATGAGGACAAGTAGCCCCACTTAAGGTCCCATCCAGGATGCTCAGGCCCCCACCTTGGCCACACACCAACACTACATGTTGCTCATTGAAACATGGACATCCTGACCTCAATTTTGAAGGTAGGAATCACCCACCCCAAACCAGACACTGCCCACAAGTAGCCAAGAAGAAAGCCAAAGGGGGTGAATGATTAGCAGAGCTGGCAGACAGTCCTGAGTCTGTGGGCTCCGAGTGCCAGGGAAGCTGTTTCCTAAGGAAAACTCAGCTTGACCACGGGAGCCCATGGAGGTCCTTCATGGCCTGGCTGCTCCACAGTGAGGCTCCTACAGACCCCCCAACACACACACCTGCCTCCCCACATTCTTGAGGGTCCCCAGGCACAGCCACTGCCCATTGTCTGGAATCAAATGTTAGAATGAGCAAGAAGGTCTTCAGGAATTTAGTAAACATGAATTTACTAAATACTGTGAGATAATCTTGTCCCCACAAAGCTTACAATATAGTTAAAAGCATAGTATATACATGCAGACACACACATGAAATATAGAAATGTATGGTAATTGGAGAATTATTTCGAATTAGAGAATGTCATGCTGAGCGACGTGTAGATTGTATGTTAGAAGCTTTCAATGACAGGAGTTGTTCTTAGGGGAGATTCAGTGTTAGTGAGAAACATCCTCAGATATGTCCTGGACTGCCAGTAACTCAGGGAAGGTTTTTCAAAAGCTTTTATACCAACTGTAAAGGAATCTTTCATTTCTTATTGTTGCAGGACAGACAGACATGGCTAAAAATCCAGTGCTGTGTTGTATGGATTGTAGAGAGACAGGACTAATTAAATGCTTTCCCCCCACCGCCACCCCCACCCCCAGTCTCTAATGCTAAGACTGGGGCACTTATGGGAGGAGAGGGACCCTGAGATTTGGGATGGGGAAACAGATGAGGCTGAGAACTCTGAACTCCCCAGTTCCATAGAACCTCCCTTTCTGACAGAAGAAACCCCTCTTCCCAGCTGAGAGAAAAGTCTTCCTCTGTAGAAATACCTTTCAATAACTGCACCTGGGAGAGTTCTGTCACCACCAGTCTTTGTAGGACTCACTCCCACCACCCCTATTACCTCCACATCCATAACAAGAGTAGATCCCAATAATAGCCTAGACAAGGATGTGCAAGACCTGAGGTGGGAGAGGAAGTCCATGCACCAAAATAATTATAAGACCTCACCAGTCAGTATTGGCAAGAGTGTGGGGAGCATGGATGAAATGGAAAAGTTGATTGAGCCCCATTTATCAATATGAGTTTACCTTCCTGAGATTCTAGGGTCAGTATGTGGCTTGAACATCTCTAAGCCCCATTTCCCTCATAAGTAATATGGGGTCAATAATAGTATCACTTCAGAGGGTTACTATGAGGATTAGAAGAGATAGCCCCAGTAAAAACAGCATAATCCTCAGTATACAGGGAGAACTCAGGAAATGGTAGCCCATATTGTTAACGATTATCTTAGTCCACACCCAGGACTCTAGACAAGACTGTTTTCACATAAATTGTTGCTTCCGGGAGAGCCGTGAAACTCCTTGAAGACACATGATATCTCTAAGGGGCATAATCTACTTCTGTTGATATTCTTAGCAACCCCAAAGCTGACAGCAGATGTCATTCGTGAACAGAGGCCAGTGCCTTAAGGGGGTGCTCCAGGTACTGGCCTTGTACTGGCAACCTCTGCCCTGTTTTTATGTTTCATCTGCAGTTGCTGCATTAAGAAGACCTGGCCTTAATGAAATACTCAGTCCTGAATCTTTTCATGTTTCAAATTAACTTTAATGAGCAAACAGGGAAAGATCAAGAGACCTGCGACTGGGACTTAGGGGGAACTTTGAAGCAGAAGCCAGGATGGGATAGATGCCCTCTGGAGACAGGCCAGCATTTGCTTTTGATTGCAGCGAACTCTCAGATCTTGTTCATCTGAGCAGCAAACAAGGGGCTCTGGTACCAGATACCCGAGACTTCACCTTTGGTAACACCTCTGTGCTCCTCATTCAACAAACGTGTTGAGTACCTGCTGTGAGCAAGAAATTTGCTCTCATACTTTTATTCTCTACATTGAGTAATACCAAGGTGAATAAGACACCATTAGTGCCCTCCAGGACTTTATATTCTGCTAGAGCAGTGGTTCTCAACCTTCTGGCCCTTTAAATACAGTTCCTCATGTTGTGACCCAATCATAAACTTATTTTCGTTGCTACTTCATAACTGTAATGTTGCTACTGTTATGAATCATAATGTAAATATCTGATATGCAGGATGGTCTTAGGCGACCCCTGTGAAAGGGTCGTTCGACCGCCAAAGGGGTCGCGACCCACAGGTTGAGAACCGCTGTGCTAGAGGAAATAAGATGGACACAAATAGGCACATTAGGAGGG